GGATAAGGGGCATAAAGAGTAAGTATGATTTGTAACAATGAATATGCTAATAAAAAATAAAAAAAGACCCACCTTATGACCCAGCTGTCCCACTATTGTATATATACACAAAGGAAATGAAGTAAATATATCATAGACACCTGCACTCCCATGTTTATCACAGCACTATTCACAATAGCTAAGAGATGGAATCAACCTGTGGTATATATACACAATGGAATACTATTCAGCTATTTTAAAAAATGATATCCTATTATTGCAGCAACATGGGTGGAACTGGGAACCATCATGTAAGTCAGTCAGGTACAGAAAGACAAATATACTCATGTGGAATCTAAGGGAAAAAAAAAAAAAAAGAGAAGTGGTTCTCACAGGAGTAGAGTGGAATAAATGGTTACCAGAGGCCAGGAGAGGAGAGGGGGTGTGTAGGATAAGAAGTGATGGACGAGGGCTGGCCCGTGGCTCACTTGGGAGAGTGTGGTGCTGCTAACACCAAGGCCATGGGTTTGGATCCTATATAGGGATGGCCGGTTCACTCACTGGCTGAGCGTGGTGCTGACAACAACAAGCCAAGGGTTAAGATCCCCTTATCGGTCATCTTTAAAAAAAAAAAAAAAAGAAGTGATGGACTAATGGGTACAAAACTATGCTATCTGCTGTAAGTGAATCGTTGTACAGTATATGCATGTGTTGAAATAACACACTGTACTCCACAAATTTATACAAGTAAATGTTTTTAAAAAAAGGATTTAAGGAGATGCAGCAAAATACTAAAAATTGTTGAAGCCAAGTGATAGGTAATAGGTGTCCATTATAGAATTCTTTATATTTGTTTCTATTTTTGAAATATTTTAAGTGTTATTATAACCAAATGAAGTGTCTGAATCTTGTGTTGATCCTAATTCAAACAAATCTTTACAAAGAAATTTTGTGTCAATTGGAGGAATTTTATTACAAAGTGGGTATTAGATTATATCAGGCAATTGTTAATTTTATTATGTGTGACGATGGTACTGTGTTTCTGTAAGAAAATATTGATATTTTTAGAGATCCATATGTGCTATGTTAGATGATGTAATATTTCTGTGACTTGCTTTAAAATACCCTAGCAAAGAAAAAGGATAGTTGAAATAAACATGGCAAAAACTTGATAACTGGTGAATCTTGGTGAAAGATATATGAAGGATTGTTGTATTATACTTTCAGCTTTTGAGTATGTTTGAAAATCTTCATAATTACATATACAAAATTAAAAGGAATAAATATATAATTGTTCTTTAATAACTTCTATTGTCCAACATAATTTTTTAAATTCTATAAAAATTTAAGTTTTTCTAACTTTATTTTAAACTTCTATTTCTCTACTGGTTTTTGCATATTTATACATATAAATATAATCATATAAAACAATATATATTTACATATTCATATATTTGTAAAGTAAGTCAGTCTTGACCAAGTCTTCCTTCGGGCTCTCTATGCCACCTTAAACTATGTTGAAACAGCCAAAAATTGATACTTAGACTTGGTATTTATTTGCGCTTTTTCTGTTGGTAGCGCCAACATGATAGTGAGTACCTCTGGGTAGTCTCCAATAATTCAAAAGTAGCAGGGATAATTAGCATGAGGAGGTGTTAGGTATGTAATCTTGAGGCTTGATAAAATTGTAGTTCCCAGAAATGAATAAAAATATTCCAGAAATAACACTCTTTCTATTTCTCATATTCTATGAAATCATTTAACAATAAGAATATAGAGTTGACACACATACGATTTTCCTTTTTGGTTTCACATGTATATCTTTATTCAATTTCTGGGTCAGTCCTAGTCACATGCCTATCACGATTTGTTAGGTATCCATCTTTCCTTTAAGGTACTTCAGATAATTACTTTCTGCAATTCATGTTCCTATAACTGTCTCTGAGTAGAGTTTGAAAATATAATAGTGATGAGAAAATGATGTGAAACCGATATTGAGGGAGTAAAGATTTCTTAAATGAACTTCACTTAAAACTAGCATGACTAGGTTTTTTGCCTCTGTGACTTAGACTACCAAATCATTAATTCCTGTAACTGGTACCAATGTATGTTTTCATAACTTTTTAAAGTTCTTTAATTGATATTATCTTTGATTTTTACAAGTAGTTAGAAAGTTATGTAAAAAAGTGTTGCTACAGGGCCAACCCCGCACTTGGGAGAGTGCGGCGCTGGGAGCGCAGTGGTGCTCCTGCCGTGAGTTCGGATCCTATATGGGGATGGCCGGTGTGCTAAAAAAAAAAAAGTGTTGCTACTATTCTGGTGAAGAAACTGAAGCTTGAGGGTCTTGTGATTTCCTTAAAGTCATACAACTAGTTAGTAGTAGAGTCAGATCTTAAATCAGTTTATTTTCATAGCCTGTTTGGCTTTGGTATTGTGCTCTGTAAAGGAAATTGATGATTTTGCAAAGATGGACAGTTTTTCTTTGTAAATATCCTATAACTTTTACATGCCAAAAGATTTAAAAAAGAAATTGAGATGAACAGCAGCAGTCTGGGAAAAGTTTGTGAGAGAAGATAGATTTAGTATCTGGAATGTATGAGGGTACTTCAGAAAGTTCATGGAAAGATTTGTATTATCTTTTATTTCTATTTTTCCACAAACTTTTTGAAGTACCCTTATATAAAATGCTCCTCCAAAAAGGAAAACTATTTATTAGAAACATCAGTAAAGGATATCACCAAAGAGGAAGTACTGGTCACTAATAAATGTTTGAAAAGATATTCAA